GGGACTGAGAACACTGCACGTGTCTGCAAACGCAGCCTTCACTGTGCCCACGTCGTTCTGAGGCCGAGGAGATGGACACCCGTCAGAATGACGGGCAACGGTCCCTCGGGTATTACTGTGAACGCTAAAACAAAACAGCTTAAAAATCAGCAGGCGGGTAAGGGCCGTGCCCCTGAATCCGGGGGAGGACGGGGAGTCTGCACAGCTGCTGAGGCCCGTGGGGCTGACCTGCTCCCCCTTTCTTCCCCACCGCACTGGGGAGCAGGTGTTCGGTGTGTGCCGCAATGCGCTCCCTGGGGGACAATTAGAATGAGATAATGACAAAGCCTCTCTCCTCGTGAGGCACTTTGCCTCCCAGGGCAAGGAAAACAGGCCAACCAATTTAGAATGATCTAGCAATCAGGGAAACAATTAGGGTGCAGACAGGCTTAGCAGCTCCAGATCCTATTGAGACACGCCTGAGGGCCCGGCGGCCCTCCTCGCCTAGGTGAGGGTGAGTGGCGGGTGGGTAGCCTCTGCCATTTCTTCAGGAGCTGAAATTGTTCCTTTGGGCTGCTTAAGACCTCGCCCTCTGTGACGTCCTTCACTGGGTCACCTACTCATCAAGCATTTATTAAGTGAGGACTGTGAGCCCAGGGGCTGCAGAGCCGGTGAAGGGTTCTTGGGGCTGTTGTCCAGAGCTGTGCTGGTCAGCTGAATGGTCCACAGGGAGGGGCCTCTCACCGGGGGCAGAAGCCCTGCTCTGAGGAACTTTCGGGGACCACTGTGGTGGGTGGGCGAACGGTAGCCAGCGCACCTTACCTGCACACAGGGACAGTGCCGGGTAGGAACAGGGAGCAGAGACAGCCGCTTGGCCAGGGGGCAGTGGAGCCCCCAAGCAACAGCCCCGGTCGGGGCTCGCTGGCGGCCCCACGAGGCAACGCACTGCCCCCCGGGACGCCCCCACCGCCCCCCGGGACACCCCCACCCCCGGGCCCTACTCCCAAGTGAGGCGAGCAGCTCTGGGTGGGGCTGCGGGCTCTCGCTGCGGCTCCGGCTTCGCGCGGCCCCTGACCTGAGCCCCTCTGCGCGTGCTCTCCCCACGCGACAGACCCGACCCTCACGCGGCCTGCTCTCGGGTGCAGGGGGCCGCAGACGCCGACTCGGGACAGTCGTCACGAGCGACAGGGCCCCGCCCAGGCCCCAGCTACAGCCCGAGCAGGTCAGGCCGGGAGCACGAAGCCGCCGGGCTGTGGGCTCCTGGCTCCGGGGTCTCGGGGCTCCTCCCTCGGGCCCTCGGGGCTTTCCCGCCACCCGGCTTCCTGAG